CTATGTTCAACTATATGAAACATACACTATTGCTCATTTATTGAAACATTAATGTTTTATCTTCTCGCTAACGACATTGCTGAACACTGATTATTCTTAATTATACAAAATGCCTATGCTATATATACAATCAATTTATTCAAATTATTTATCACTATTTCTGAATATAGCATATACTTTATGCGCATATACGAAGAGTAACCAACATTCCAACCCAGGTCGAACTCACCCTATCGGATCCGATGGGGATTCATCGGAATCCTTGGCATCGGATTTCAACAGGAAGTTGTTGGATGTCGGAAAGTGTCGGAATGACCAGGATTCATGTTGGAAGGCCGAAATTTCGACACTTTCCGACATCCGACAACTTCCTGTCGGAATCTGATGCCAAGGATTCCGACAACTTGCGACGAATTCCTATCGGATCCGATGAAATCCTATTGTTTTTCGATAGGATCCGACGCGATCCAACTGTCGGATTGTTCATCCTGGGAATACATGTTCACTCTATAAGCAGAGGAATATCATTAGAATACGAAACCAAATAATATTAAAGATCAATAAAACTGAGAAAACTTCACATCACCTGGGATATAAAACATACAGAACATTAACAAAATTCAAAAACATTGATCAATAACAGAAAATCGACATTTACTTTGAATCTTAAGTGCAAATTCAATGTTTCAACCAAATCCTAATAAATATTTCTACTAGCAAGCAAAACTCTCGAAATTAGGAGGGGAAAATGACCATAGAAATCCCGAAACTATCAAACATGAATAAAATGAAAGAAAGTAGTTGTGCGAAAGGAATCTTCAGTACAATCGTTCACTTCCAAGCCAAACAAAACATTGTTCAATATTGTTATTCGAAAATATATCGATCAATAAGAAATATCTAAATAAACATTCAGATATTTGCCCACTTAAAATAACTTTCTTCCTATCATTTCTGCAATCTTGTTCCATTTCTAAGACCATACGAAAAATACAGCTTCAATCGACACATCTATCCATACTTAATTAAACGCTGTTAGCGCAATCCTTGCGGGACTAAAATATGAAACACGATCTACATATTGTTTATTATCCATTAAAAAACGGGTCTTTTCAATGAATTTTGCGGGAAATCTCCCCATCATTGCTTATTTCAGAGGATAGAACTTCAATGAGCAAATATTCAATACAAATTTCAATTACATGTCAGTTACTCATGATTTCCAACAGTTTCTTGAACGCTGCCTCTCACGGTCTATGACGGCACTGAACTCTGTCTCTCACCGTCTGTGACGATCCTGAACCCTGTCTGTCTTGGTGTGCGCGCATGTAGGGCGGGAGGGAGGGGGGCCGAGCGGGAGTCCCAATTACTGCCCCTAAACACTTCAACACTCGTTTTAAACCGTGTTTCATAAAATACATAGTGCCTGTTCATAAAAGTTCGTTCAATGACGCCAACTCATTAACATATTCCTCACTGACTGAATTTTTCTCTTCATCCAAATATAACGCTTAACCAACTATCATTGATCAAAACTGCACAACACTAAAATTCCACTACCTCCAAATATCAATCATATCCTAATATAAGCTAACTCTCAACCGAAAGGCATTTCAAACTGCGCAACACCATAAATCTCCATCAATCATACTTTCATATTCAATTTCCAAAACTTCATAGATGCCCCACATCAAACAGGACGAAAAATTTCCAAATAAACTCCATAATTTCATCAACAAATAACATCAAAGATCATTTTCATAATGAACAAAGAATCTTTCCCACCATACATCCATAAACCTGACATCACCATGAACAACAGCCAGAAATTCACTTCCGTAACACTTCACGAACTCAAATGCATTTAATACTCTAGCACCACACAAACATGAAATTCAAAACGAAACTAAACCACAAGAACAACCGGACGAATATGACAATCTTGATCGTCATCTTGATGATCTTCTTGCTGCTCCTCATGCTCCTGCTGATCCTTATGCTCTTGCTTATGATGCTGCTGATTATGATTATCCTTATCGTGCTCGTCTTGCTGCTGCTCGTGCTGCTCTTGCTGATGATTATGCTTATGCTGCTGCTGATGATCTTCGTTTTGATCGTGATGGCAATTTCAAAAAGAAATGAAGAAAATGGATTGTGGTTGACAAGCCTTTTAATAAACCTTCGAATACGAATGTGATTTTGAATGAATGAAAGTTAAGAAAAATTCATGTTTGTGAAAGTATGCATTGGGTGTGGGCATGTGGGTGTGGGTGTGGGTGTGGGTGCAAGAGGGGAAGAACGGAATCCTGGAATCTTACGGAAGCCCACGAAACCATGGAATCCAATCGAATTCTTGAGAACTTTTGAACCTTCAGTCCGGAAGCCGTTTAAAATAGTACTAGTGCAGGAAAATCTGTTCAGATACATCAACGATTAATGGAACAGTCTAAGAACATCTATGGTAATTTTCTCATTCAGAACCTGTTCTTTTCAAATCTTGAAGTTGCAAAGTGATCTCATTCGATATATATTTTAGGTTAAGATCAGTAAACATACAAGGAAATAGAATATAATTCATAAATTGGGTGTTGGTGTGGGTGTGGATATTCAATTGTGTCTAACCCACGTTCACACGCCACCCACACCCACACTAGAGTCCTGCACGGGTTCATCCTTTCGAACCCGCACCCGATCGAACCCGAGAAAGTTGAGCTCGAACTCGACCAGACCCGATCGGAAAATCTTATTTGTTGTTTAATTAAAGTAGCTGTTTTCTTCGAAGATGGTCATTCAATAGAAATTGGAAATTTTTAGATAGATACTGAATACACACCATATTGGGACCATGGAGATCTCATTAATTGTAAAGCAATTTCAGATTTTTTTTCCTTACAATAAGAGGATATCGTTCGAAACTTCGGCGGATTATTGAATCAACATAGTATCGTACAATTGTAAGTTACCAGGTGTTGTAGCTTTACTTTACAAAGAAACTGTGACAACATTGTTGCGTTGTTTTTTAAAAATTTTCAAAAATTTTAACCACTAACACATGATTTATAAGTAGTGATTTAAATGTTAACCTGCGTGCTTTGTTAATGGAGAAATTCTGAAACAAAAATAGAAAGTAAAACAGTTTTTAACACCTAACTTTTTTGAATAGAGCGTGATGAGATAAAACCTATCCTCTATGTTCGTCTCAGAACATGTCTGCTAGAAAGGCAAAAAAGTATTTACAATCATCCCATCACTGTTGTATCCACATGATATTGGTTAATAGTTTTGATAACTTTAATGGAAAAATAGGATAATGTTATTGTGATTTGTCAGTATTATTTGAGGTGAGATTATCGGAAATATCACATTTACTTTGAAAGATATAGGTACAATGATCTGCTAGGGTTGTAGTGGTTTTATCTATATTATAAAAGGGAACGATAAATTGTGAATTGTTTCAGAATTGCTCAAACTAACGCTCTGTTGTATATAGATAATATAGACCGATAGCTTTGTAACACATTAACTTTAAAATCAATCAACTGTGGACAAGTACACAGAGAATGGTCGATAGCGTTAGGATAAATGAACCCGAAAAAAATCCGACTTTTTTTATAGTTCAACACGCGACCGACCCGACCCGACGATGCTCAATCCGCAACCGACCCGATCTGACAAAGTTGAACCCGAACCCGCCCGCGGATCGGGTCGGGTCTGGTTGCAGGACTCTAACCCACACCCCACACCCACACCCACACCCTCTCACACCCAACATCCACAACCACACCCTGCCAACCGATAGGTTATCATTAGTTATGGGAGGAAGCAAGTCAAATTAAGTAAAAAATGATTCGAACATTTCTGTATATTGGAACATCAATTATATAATTATTGATATCAAAAATATCAAAAAATTTTCATTAATACAGAATTTCACTCATGCAATTATATACTTAAACATCTGATAAGATAAATCGGTCTGAATCTATGGATAGGTAAATGAGGAGATCGGCTCGGTCGCAACGCTTCTACCGAAGGTAATGTGATCCTACGAACTACAATTCAGCAAACAAATAACAATTCATCGATATATACATGTACCAATAACCACAAACGAATAGAATAAAGAAAAACGAAAAAAAGATATCAGCATGGAAACCTGAGGGTGATACAGATGGAGTCCTTTGACAGCTTTAGAAACTTACTGAAAATCTAGAGGAGTTTTAAAGAATTCAAAAAGAATCCCATGGAATCCTAGGAAATCCTAGAGAGTCCTAGAGAATCCTTGGAATCCGGAAGAATTACAGGGAACCTTTGGAATTCAGAGAAATTCAGGAATCCAGAATTCCGTCTTTTCCCCCTTGTGTCCGTACCAGTATATAAAAAGAAAAAGATATAATAGATTTGACAAATGTATGAGTCATCCTTTTGATCGTCTTTTACTTTCTACTTTGTTTGTTATATCACTTTATATAATACCTTATCATTTATCTTATTTCATCTATTTTAAGTGTTCGGATATTTTCTGAAGAAGATCAATTTCATTGATCGAAACGTTAAAAATCAATAATTTACATAAAACATATAGGAAGAGAGCTCTTACATGAATAATAAAATTCATTGTCTGCCTTCGAAAAATGAAAATAGCAGCTCTCCAGTTGTTTTTCTCAAAAGTTATTTAGCTTAAAATTGAGTCCACTGGTTTTTTCAATAAATATTAGACACTATTCAGTGAGGACACTGTTTTTTTATTTAAAAAAAAATATTACTCTGATGACTTTGAGAAACTTTTACCAAGCTGCTCCTAGTAAAAATTCAAGTGTTTTGTTTAGAGTGAGTCTGATAGTTTACCTTCTCTTTCGAAGAAAAATAATAAAATGAAACAAAAAAGAAACATCATTCGACAAAAACACTGTCTTGTATTTATAAAAAGAATTTTTGGCTCGATCAAGCATTGTATCTGAGAAAAAATGGAGGGCAAAAGATAGAGACATTTCGTCCCCAATATTTCGTAGAAGACAACATCCAAGAACTTTGAGTCTATGACAGGTTTTGTTTCACTCATCAACATCTATCTGCTCTAAAAGTTTCAGAAATATCCAATGAATCGTTTTCTAGAAAATTAGGAAATGAGAGGATAGTACCCTAAACGGTGAAATGAAAACATTTGATCAAACAGGTCCATTTTTTAGATAAAGCTTTCGTTTTCATATTCACATGCATTTATTCAATAAACTGATCGTGCTTGTAAACATGAACAAGAAAAATAAAGAAGTAGATGTCATTTTTATTTTAGAGAGAAACAACTTTACAGACAGTCATTATTCGTGTCCATCAGGCACAAAATATTATATACCTTCATTTTAAAAAATTTACTTTTAACTTAATCCTTTTGTTTTCGAATTGTAGAAATACAGTACCGGTCAAAAGTCTGACCCCACTGTTTTAATTTAAGTCGTGTGTTAAAACTATACAATATTATTTTAATTTGTCTATATGTCTGTGTAGTAGAACTCAAGTACTATCTATATATATATCTGTTTAATACGAAAATGCCTTGAATATAAAATAGAACAAAAACAAACAAACTTCAATGCTAAGACAAAAATGGCACAAAAAAAAGACAAAATGATATTATTTTTATTAGTTTATGGAGAATGATGATGATTTCGTGGAAGTGGACAATCTTTATATACATCCTGTCCACGTGTAACACCACAATGATCATATAATGGTGCTTAATATTTTCTTTCTTTGTATTGTACCATTCATTAATCATCGTCGTACTTAAAGTTTCTTCAGTAAGTAATGAATGTTGTCTGATTTTGTCTTTTCATTTGTGGCATAGGGTGTTGTCTAATGGACTGACACGTTTTGCTCCTTGAGTAGATAGCATCAATACCTCTGTCAATCCTGTGTATCCAACATTACGAAAAGCTTTTCAATTTTTGATACATTGTGAATATTTGATTTATCTGATACTAAATACATAGGACAAGGATCAAGTTCACTAATTGAAGCACAAAAAACATTTTCAAGAAAATCAATAAACATATCACTATTGATTCCTTTAACATTTCTTGTTCTTCTGTCTTCAGGTGTGAAAATAATTGGTGGGAGTACTCGATTACCAATAATAGCTGCAATCATATCATAATGAGCAGCATAAGATGATGAATCAGTAACAATAACAAATGGTTTCTCACCTGGTGCTACCAGCGTTGTTCCAGTAGTGTAGAAGCCGTAAAGTTGATTCAACTATTCAACTTTTCAAATTTCAACTAGTCTGCTATCCAACTCTTCAACTTTCAACTATCGAACGTTCAACAATCCAACGGTGATCAATTAAAGTTTTAACCATTCAAGGTGTGTTTGTGCGGGTGGGTGTGGTTGTGGGTGTGAGTGTGTGGATGTGGATATGGACTTGAACATGGCTGCTTTGAAGTCTTACAGCAATATCCACCCCCACACCTAACCCATACCCACCCACTCACACCCTCCCAGATGATGCTACGAGCTTCCCAGATAATACTACTAGCATCCCAGATAATACTACTAGCATCCCAAGTAATCCCTCTAGCATCCCAGGTGATGCCTCTAGCATCCCAGGTGGCTTCTTAAGTTAGCTCCTAATTTGGGGTTTACGCAGTGTGGGGCTCACTTTTTTTGACCTACACACATCCACACGCCTACGTTCACAGCACTCAGACACCCACAGCCCACCCGGAAAGTTTAATAGTTGAAGAAGAAGTTGAATAGCCGTAAGCACTCTTCGGCTTTTACATGTATGCATTGTTCTTGATGCTTCATTTACTTTAACATGTGTTTCATCGAGAAAGGCAATTGTATTATTTGATACACGTTGTATTTTACGACGTAGCTTTGCTATAGTATCACAAGAAGTATCACTTACGGTAAATAAAATAATGGAAAAAAGATTAAAACAAACAACAAAATACTAAGAGGCCGTGACTGGATGCTTTTTATACTCACTTTCTCTGTAGGTTGGCTTGACAGTTTTCTTCTGTTTAATACCAATGTTCTTTTCGTATCGTGAAACCGTTCGAAGAGAAACATTAGTATTTGTTTCTTGACGGATGAAATTTGCGATTTTAGCGTAATTAATGGTACGTAAAAGACGATTAAGAGAACGAACAACTTTAATAATGAGTTGATTGATTTGTTGTTTATTTAATATTGGTGGCCTTCCTGAATGATATTTTTGTTGTAATGATGCAAATGTACCATCATATCTATCGAGCCACCGCTTCGCTGTTTTATGTACCTCTTGATTTGAAAAATATTGGCAACAAATCGAAAACTAACATTCGGTAATTGGTTTTTCAAATAATATTCGACTACACGTTGTTTAAATAAAGGATCAGAATATTGAGTTACATTGTTCATATTAAAAAATTCAATAATAATCAACGAAAAAATAAGTTCGTTCGGCTTTGGTGGATTTTTTATAATTATATACGAACGTGACAAACAAAGCATATTTCGTTATTCAATATCGAATGGTAATTAAATTTGTAACGATAATTTAAGCTATTAGTGTCAATAGGTGGGGCTGCAATTACAATTAGGGTGTTTCTATGAAAACAATCAATGAATGGCTGATAATAATCTATTAGCAAATGACAATTTATCACCTTTAACACATTTAATGTAGAGTGACTGCATTCAACTTGATCATAGATTTATTTAAATTCGAAAAGAAAAAAAATTATGTGAAACGAATGAAATTCGCACTTGCTGCGAGATGAAGATTTATTTGAGTTAAAGTCTCTTTTTCTCTTTATGTATTCAACTGATAAAATGGGAATCTGCCAGGCAATAGTAGATCTGCAGCGCTCTTGAAAACACTGTTTTAAATACTGATTCGATAATCCTTCGCGCTTAGTTTGTGTGCTAAAATAGCTAAAATTAACAGGAACACTATCATTTTGTCTTTTTTTGTGCTATTTTTGTCTTAGCATTGAAGTTTCTTTGTTCTTGTTCTATTTTATATTCAAGGCATTTTCGTATTAAATAGATAGATATAGATAGTACTTGACTTCTACTATACAGACATATAGGCAAATTACAATAATATTGTATAGTTTTAATACACGACTTAAATTAAAAAAGTGGGGCCAGACTTTTGACCGGCACTGTAGATTGTTGAGGTTCTTGTAACTTTATTAATTTATCAATCTATTTGATTGACTTCTTTTAATCATCTATTAACAAATTCAATGAAACCTTTATTTCTTTCTTTCCTTGAAAACAAAACATAACTTGATCTATTGCCAAATATGCCAGCCATGATTGTTGGCAGATGGATCAAATTATGTCTATTTTGTTTGACTTTTGGAAGTGATGGAATTCATAGCCCCATTAACAATCAATATAATAATGAAACATCTTGCGTAGCTAGTTGATTCGAAACATATAATCCAATATCATCATCATCATTGGTACATTAATAACAATGGTAAAATATTGATTAATAGACAATGAAAAAATAGTACAACAAAATCCTTTGTTATTATCAATTTTGAGCTTATTGTTGTTATTGAAATAATAAATATTATCTATTGGTCATTGCTGTGAGACATTTTAATCTATATCACCTTTAGGTCTCATGTTCCATATGAAATATATATTAATTTCTTTTTGCTTTGTATTCGTTATTTTTGATTAATATTTGATGAAAAAATATCATGTTGACATTGTCATAAATGAAACATAAAGTAGAAGAAAATACTTGTGATTATATACATCATTTATATACTTGACAATAATTATAACAAGCCAACTGTCAGTGCAAATAGACAATGCATATTGACAATTTAACACATGTCGGTATAAACACAAGCATCATAAAATGATCGTGCAATTATTTCTTGAGAAAGGAGAGGGAGTCGAGTCCGTGAGTCATTCTTTTTGTGAACATTTCTATTCAGAAATGAAGAGAACCACTAATGATGATGTTCTATATGTTACTGATAAATTGCAAATTTCTTTTCAATAGTTCTTATAATTAATTCTCTATCGAATTATAGTATTTAACACAATACTGGAGAAAGTTTTTTTATTATCGCTAATTTTTATGCGGATTGATGTTTTATCTCATAACCTGTTTATACCATATAATAAACAGATACACAACTTCGGTAAATTACAGAGATTACGTGATTAGTGTAAAATTTATTATAAATGACATGTATCATTACATGATATTGTGGCAAAAATATAGACAAATTTCTCTACTTGTATACAATTATTTGATTGTAATTAGATACGATCAAGGTTTTGAACAGTAAAACTCATAATGTTATGTCTAGATGTCAAGCAAGGAAAATTTCATCCCGTTATTCTACTGTATGTTTGGTCAAAAGATCAGATATAAAGTTTTAAAATACATTTCGAAATGTTATTGGTTGCCATCTAATAATTCAAAAATTACATCAAAAGTTTAGTAAATAAGGCTATTGCTACGAGTATTAAAAAAAGAATTTACACTTGTAAAGCTTGATTGGCCTGTTGAATAATTTTATGATTGAGTATGCTAGAAAAAAAGCAGAACGAAAAAAAAATAAAAACATTTTTATAACGTCGTTTAATAACAAATGAGGCTGAAACATATACTCTGACATGTGTCTTTATTCTACTTCACGAGTGCAGCCTGATACGTGACATGTGGTAAGCTACAATTAACTTCGTCCACGACAAAAGATAAGAGCAGCAAAAAGACTCATGTAGATTGTTTCTTCAAGTGTCACAACAATAATGTCAAATGATATGAATTTATTTGACGATTAATATGCTATACAGTATGCTTTCGTCAGTAACAAATTCTGATGTTGATTCGAACCAATCAGAAGTCGAACAACAAACTGAACTTATGTACAAAGATAATACGATATGGACAGCCGTATTTAATGCAGACAAGACTGCCATTGACCATTTAATCGATATGGATCCAGATATTATTAATGCAAGAGGAGCCGTTGGTGAATGTCCTATTCATATGCTATTTCTATATGCAACAGACAAACATTTGGAAATTGCTCGAGATCTTATTATACGATTTCCAATTATTGTAACGCAAATTTACAATAAACCAGTAAATATAATTCTATTCATTTTTTTTATTTGAATACTGCATATAGATTATATAGAGATATTATGGCGAGAATATTCTTCATATTGCTATTGTCAAACGTAATCCAACAATGATTGAATGGTTGCTTAATAATGATCATTTAGAGCCTTATCGAGAACAATTATTGACAGCAACTGCAACAGGTGACTTCTTTGAAATGTAAATCACTTTTCTTTTCTGTCGTATATTTCATATTTGCATTTGTAGAGGTCAACCATCTTATTATGGTGAAACTCCACTGGGATTTGCTTGTTGTACTAATCAATGGGATATTGTTGAAATTTTACTAAAATATGGTGCCGATATGGATGTGGTCAGTAAAGAAGAAAATATTGAATGTTGAATGTAAAACGTTAATAATAAGAAATGCCTGAACTAGAGATGAACAGAACCATGTGTTTTGATCTCGGTCTCAAAAAAACTATTTCAGAATTTATTCGTATCACATTTTTGAAAGGTTTTTCAATATTAGTTTTTTGATTTATTAAGTTGATGGTCAACACTTTTTCGTTCATCTCTCTTGAATTATATTTTGATAGATATGATTTATGAGATAATACGCTTAAAGCCGTAGCACAGTTACTTAGGGCAATCTAAAGAAGTGGCAGTGATACTTTAATACTGTACATTAAGCTTTAGGAACTTTTCTTTTTATATACAGGAATACTACAAACCATGCTCTACTTTTCAATGATATTTGATCATGCTTCAACTAGTATGATAATCACAAAATTTCGATAAGAGTTATTTTTCTATGATACGTGACTATTATCTTAATAGTTATTAAAATAAAAGACGATTGGATATTGTTTTAATAAGTTGTCATAGAAACAAGGTAAGACGCTGTGGATTTAATCGTTCGAAAGAGGAAATGAAGATGCATCGAATTATATATTCTGCAGATTTTTTTGGCATGATCATTTTTAAGGGTTTCAATCGTTATCTTTGGAAAGAAACCTATCTCGTGAGGTCTTTACAGCAAATTTGCAATTGTCACGCGTGTATTCAAATCGCCGATGGAAGATCTACAAAAATGGACAAGTTTTCGATGTTTACAATTAATTATTTAGGAGTTACAGGTATTCTAGTCGAAGCTCTAAATAATTTTTGTAGCCACTTCTGTAGAAAAAGTCTTTTTTGCTGTTCGTTTTTGATAAAAGAAACCATTTTTTTCACACTTGAAAAGTCGATAAAACTTCAGACAACATCTTAAGAAAACATATAATAAACGATTTGATGCACCTTTATCTCCTTTTTCGAATGATGAAAACGGCAACTCTTTATCTCATTTTTATCAGAAGTCATGCGTAAAATATCAAGTCCACCTTTTAAATAGACATTAATATAGCCATCACATATGACAGAAAAATAGGTCTTATCGAAAGTTTTTTATTATGATATTAGTTGAAGAATGATCAGATACCACAGAAAAATAGAGCACTGCTTGTACTATTCCTACAAATAAAAACAAAGTTTTCTAAAGCTTATTATATGGTATTACCATGTCATTGCCGCTATTTTCGGATTGTTCTAAGTAACTATAATCTTTAGTTTCAACTGAAACAACTTTTTTCTCATAGTCCTGGCAAATGTCTAAATTGTCACCTCGTATATCTCTAGTTTGAACATTGAACAATGCTGATTTTTATTTAGATCTTGATCAAGATATATATTCTTTACTGTAGAGATATGGGAAAAGATTTTTTAAATTATTTTTTTTGCATCATTAGCACATCATACTAAGAAACTCTAATCTGATTTCTTTATATTTTTTTATCTAGACGGACAGTAATGATAATACCATTCTACATATGCTTGTTATTTGCAATTTACCTGAAATTTATGCTAAATTTAAGACACGTTGGATAGAACAACAGACTATTAATGAAGACAAGAAGA